CCCTGTTGTTTTCTGAGAGGAGAAAAAGAAGAGGATAAAGACAGTCACCTCCCACACCTTAGTTTGATTGCCTTAATAGGCAAGCATGTAGGTTGTATTTTTGTGACAAAAACAAAACAAAACAAAAACCCAACCCACCCAATCTTCTGGGTGAAAAGGGAAGAACTGAGGTGACTGACTAATTGTTTCTCTTTCCCATTCACCATCAACTATGGCACTTGGGTCCTTGTTCTGCAGCTGTTCAAAGAAGAATTCTCTCCCATGAAAGATGGAGTGAAGTTGGTGAATGATCTGGCTCACCAACTTGCCATTTCTGATGTGCATTTATCAATGGAAAATTCTCGGGCCCTGGAACAGATCAACATCCGGTGGAAACAGCTACAGGTAGAAGAGCAGCCTGGAGTGAGCCACGGGAGGTGCCTCAATATAACTAGATTTGTGAGAAACTTCTTCAGGCCCAAAGAAAATGGGATATAAACATAATACTTACACTGGAAAAGAGTAATGGAGAATGTGGGATAAGGAATAGGCTTCTTAACCTCTAGAGTTCAGAAAGTGACTGAAATGAAGAATTGGGGCCAGCCCATGGCCTGGTGATTAAGACAGCTGGATCCCACATGACTGACTTCATGATTCATATTGTGGATGCAGTGGCTAGAAAAACATACTGGGCACGTGTATGTATGTGTCCAAAATCCCAAAAAGGAAGGAGAAACAGAGGATAAGGGATTGTAGTGTGACCATGCCCCACGGTGGGGAGTGCTTTTTCACTTTGTGTCTCTGTTCCTTTTTCTCTCTCTCTTTCTGGAGAGTGTACACACCCTCTGGAAATAAAAAACAAACAACCCCCCCCACAAAAAAATAAATTCAGAAATGAGAGGGGCCTATCTAGATTTGGACATTCAGGGTAGACAGAAGCAAAGAATGTGTTGCGAAATTAGGGGTGCTCTGCTCTGCCTCTTGGGAGTGCAGAGTTTGGTGATGGTAGAAGGGGTTGGACCAAGAGAAAAACCAGCCTATGAGGGAACTCATAAAGATTCCCAGAGGTATCTGGAGATACCATACTAAATAGCTTGAATGAATCTACTGATTTCTTACTTGTTCTTTCTATAGGTGTCAGTTGGTGAGAGGCTTAAGCAGCTCCAGGATGCCCATCGGGACTTTGGGCCTGGTTCACAGCACTTCCTCTCTTGTACGTGAGTCAAACTGGACTTCACTTAGCAGAACCTCACTTAGCAGAACTCAATCACCTTCCTAGAGTCCCCTGGAGATCTGGTGGGAACCCAGTATATCTTGGCATCCAAGAAGCAGTAAAAATAAAGCAGCATAGTATAGTGGTTAAAAAAATAAAGCTCTCCAAAGACCTGAGTCTCAATCACAATGCCTCAGCTTAATAACTGTTCAAGCTTGAAAAAATAGCTTAACAATTCTGAACATCAGTATTCCCTTCTTTAAGAGGAAAAATATTAGTAAGCCCATTAAGTTATAGGAATTAAATGACTTTACAATATTTATTGAGGGCCTACGGTGGGTCAGATACTGTTCTAGGCACTGGGGCTGCATCAATTAACAAAACAAACAAAAATCCTTAGAAGTGCACAGTTTCCATTCTAGTAGGGGAAGGCAGACCATAAACAAGCAAGTAAAATATGTCTAAGGTCAATTGGTAACAAGTGCTATGGAAAAAATGAAATCAGGGAAATATAAATAGGGAATGCTGGACTTAGGGGGAAGCATAGCAATTTCAAATAGGGTGGTCAGCAAAGGCCTCACGGAGAGAGTAATAATTGGGCAGAGGCCTAAAGGAGGTGAAATACTCAACTGTGTTGATAGCAGAGGGAACAGCAACTTCCAGGCCCTTGAGCAGGGGTGGCCTAGGGAACAGCAACAGATGAATGTGGAAGAGAGTAAGGAAGGGAGGAGTAGGGGAGGCCAGAGCTCAAAGAGTATTGTAGGCTATGGGAAGAACTTTACTTTTTATTCATAATGGAATGGAGGACTTTTGGCAGGGTTTGAGCCAAGGGATGGCATGATCTGATTTATATTTTGGTCAAGTCAGAATATAGAGAATGGACTTTGGGGTGGTAAGAGTAGGAGCAGGGAAACCTGTTTGGAGGCATGTTGCAGTCATCCAGATGAGGGATTATGGTGGTCCAGACCAAAGGGTATCAGTGGAGATGGTGGGAATATACAGACAGGAAAATTTTATGTGTATGTACAAAGCATTGAGCATAGTATTTGGCACATAGTAAGAGCCTGAAAAAATGATAACTGAAATTACTATAATTATAATCACTGTCAAGCAGCTATACATACAGAAGGAAACTGTAGTGAATAAGTTGGCCAGGTAGCCCGAGCTTCTCTTGGAAGACCTGAAAGATAAAGACACACAGCAGAGAGAAGCATGAGTTTCCTGTATTCCTCATGAGAAAGAGAAATGGGAAGTACCCTTTCTCACTGTCCCACAGGACTAAGAAGCTTAACCTTCTAGGGAAAGGGCTTTGAGCCCCATGAGGAAAATAGGATCTATTCATATCCACAGGACAGTTTAGCTACCTGCAACTGAGTAAGTAGAACCAGCAGCCAGCTCAGGGAGAAGACTGTCAGGGTGGCCAAAGCAAGTATTCCTATTCATGCCCTTGTCACATCTCTGGTATGTTAATATATCAGTGACAAGGACCAGCAGGTGGCATGGTGGTTGAGTTACTGGACACTCCCACATGAACAACCACAGTGCGAATCCCGGACCTAGTGACTTGCTTTCTCACTTGCCCTTTCTCTCTCTGTGTGTCTCTTTCAGGTCAAATTAAAATAAAAGGAATGAATAAATAAAATTAATCATTCTTTTTAAAAAATATCAGTGACAAACTCTTCTTCTCTTGCCTAGTAGACCATGTAGAGTGTGAGTGTTTGCTCTACCCTCAGGTTAAGAGCTGGCAATGACAGTTAGGCATCCCATTTTGGGTTTGACCACCTCTTTGACAGGATAAAATAGCAATGTAGCCAAAGAATCTAAAGAACTTTCTTTTCTTTCTCTTCTTTATCAGCCTCTGTCCAGGTTCCCTGGGAAAGAGCAATTTCACCCAACAAAGTTCCTTATTACATCAAGTGAGTGACCGTCTGAATCAGAAGCGGGTCAGTCACCTGCACACCTTCTCCCTCACCTGTCTTTTTGCTTTCTGTCCCTGTCACTCTTTGTCTGTTCATCCATCCAGTCCAGTTTTTCTCCTGCTCATCTTAAGAGCTCAAGATTCTACCTGAGTAAAGGTGAACCCTTGTGCTTTGGGAACTTCAGGGTTCTCCCTTGGATCCTGCAGCTTCTTGTATCCAGTGTATCACTGAGTGCTGCATGCATGTGTGTATTAGGTGTGGGTGGTGTTGTAGATGCTGGTACTATTGATACTTTTGTTTGTAGTCATCAGGCTCAGACCACATGCTGGGACCATCCCAAGATGACAGAGTTATACCAAACCCTAGGTAAGACTATGACGTTCTATATAGGGTGGGGATCTAAACACTTTTCTTTGTCCTGTAATGTCCAATGATGGAAGAATGAATAAAAAAATATAGTATAGCTGTACAGTTACATACTATTCAGCCTTAAGAAAAAGATGGAAAGGGCCAGCTGGTGGTGTGGTGATTAAGACGGCTGGATCCCATATGGCCGACTTCATGGTTTGAGTTCTGGACCCGGTAGCTTAAAAAATACCCTAGGTGCATGTATGTGCCTGTGTGTCCGAAGAGGAGGAGGGAGAAGAAGGGACTGTGGTGTGGTCATCCCCCCAGGGGGTGATTTCTCACTTTCTCTCTCTGTCTTTCTCTTGTGAGCACATACACCCTGTAGCAAAATCTAAAACTAACAAAACAAAACCAGCCTACTATTTGGGACACAGATGAACCTGGAGGATGTTACGCTAAATGAAATAATCCATATGCACAAAGACAAATACTGCATGATTTCATTTATGTAAGAAATCTAAAATAGTCAAACTCATAGAATCAGAGAGTAGAATGGTGGTTAACAAGGGGAGGAGAAGTGGGGAGATATTGGTCAAAGGGTATAAACTCTTAGTTATAGAAGATAAATAATTCTTAGGGGTTTACCGTACACAGTAGTGCCTAAAATTAATAATACTGGATTGTATCCTTAAAAATTTGCTATGAGTAGACTTTATGTTAACCATTCTTATACAAAATAGTGAGAACAGGGCAATTGAAAACTTTAGAGGTGATGTGTGTGTTTATGGCATAGATTTTGGAGATGGTTTCATGGGTGTATACCTATCTCCAAACTCATTGAGTTGTATACATTAAATACATATAGCTTTTTGTATGTCAATTGTACTTCAGTAAAGTGGTTTTAAAAAAATAGAAGGGAGCTCCAGTCAATAAGCAGGTGGAGGTGGAAGTGAATGCCTTGTGTTTTCCAACAGCCTTCCTTTCCCCTCTGCACTTCCTTAACTGAAGCTTCTACATTTCCCCCTGGACACTGGGAATCATGGTTATAGATGTGAAGTCTGGTCTTCTTTGAAAGACACTGTCTAGGCAGTGATTAGTATGATTCTTGAATGCCTTGTCTGTGCCTACTAAAAAAGATTCTTCTTTGTGTTGCAAATTTTATCCATGTTGATGCATGTGACTATAGTTCATTAATTTTTCATTGCTATAGAGTGTTCTCATTGTATATAGCACAATTTCTTTACCCATTTTACTGTTGATGGACACTTAAGTTACTTCTAGTTTGGAACCAATAAAAATAGTGTTGCTGAGGAGTTTTTATACATGCTTTCCAGTGCATGTGCATAAAAGTTTCTTCAGGGCATATTTTTTTTTATTCTATAGGTCGTCATATCATTTTAATGTGTTGCGACCAGCATTTTAAAATATTGAGATAGACTAGGAAATATCAGCATGCAACAGATCCTTAGTAAGAGTCATATTTGATATTGTTTGTTATGTTTTTGCTTTATCAAATATAGTAGGGAATTCCTTCCTGAAATGTTTGTTATTGATACATGCACACATGTATGTATGTATGTATGTATGTATGTATGGTGGGTCATGATATACAATGGCTTTCCTTTGATAAGTCTTGGTTAAAAACATTTGTAAATCACAGCCCTGGAATATGTAGCTGGTTTGGCAGTAGGATATATGACTGTTCATTTCACTAATACCAAGTTGTTTCCCAAGGTGATTTTTCACACTTCCACTGGCAGTTCTCATTCATTCACATCCTTGTTGACACTTCCTATTGTCAGACTTCTATTTTTCATCAATCTAGTGGGTATGAAATGGTATTTTGTTACAGTTTTACTTTGCATTCCTCTGATCTGAATGTGTCTCTTTCCATTCTTTGCAGCTGATCTGAACAACATTAAATTCTCAGCTTATCGCACTGCCATGAAGCTCCGCAGAGTCCAGAAGGCCCTGCGCCGTATGTCTCCCATTGCACTTCCCTAAGGCCTTCATCGCCCTCCTGCTGTTCCTCATCTGTCTGCTGTTTCACACTTTCATCCCACCTTGGCCAGGTTTATTGACTGGCTTGGTGGTAACTCTCCAAAGGCTGGATATGCCAGCCATGGACTCTGGCTCTTTCCAGGGCCCTTCCAGTCTCCCTAAATCCCAGACTTGTTTCCAAATTAACCCCACAGCTATCGTGCTCCTTGCCTCTTTTCTTTTCCCAACAAGGATAATCAAGTGACTGCTTTTGTGACAGGAAATATCCCAGCCTATGATTTGCTACTTGGGATTATTGGATGTTACAGGAGAACTGTTGAAGCAAATGCCAGTGTTTAGGGGACATGTGGTTATAGATATAAAGTGCCTCTGGCCTTTTTCAGGGACACTGCTCATTCACTGTATCATTCTTCCTGATTCAGCCACATCTGGCTAGGCTGATCCAACATAGGAAGTAATTAAAATGTCTTCCCAGAGGCCAGCAGATGGCATAATGGTTATGTCTCTAGACTCCAACAAGGTCAACCACGATTCTGGTGCTGGACCCGGTGACTTGAAAATCTCTCTGGGAGCATGTGCGTGTGTGCCCAAGGATCCTGAGAGGAGAATGAAGGAGAAGGAATTGTGGTGTGGCCATCCCTCCTGGGGGGTGATTTCTCACTTTTCCTCTCACTAACTTCTCTCTCTCTCTCTCTCGCACACACGACCTAAGGCATAAACTTTTTTCAAAAAAAGTCCTCCCAGTGTATATTGTATGTACCCAGCCACACCTGAGCCTTCATAGCTGTTGCCTAGTTTCTCAGAACACAGTTCATGAAGAAACTTATTTGCAGTTGAAATTTGTGTAAAAACAGAGAAACTTAAAATGGAGTTTGACCCCTTGGTAGTTAATATAGGAAAGGAGATGAGTTTACTCACATCCCACCATCTTTTCAAAACTGATGTTAAAGAGCACAAAAACATAATGGGTCGATTTGAGATTTGAGGGACTTATGTTGTTTTTCTCTTCCTTGGGATGAGGCTCTTGGTAAAGGACAAGTTTGTAACATACTTGCATATGGTTACTCTGGGTATTGAGTCAAATTCGGTGATGATTTTGGCCTTATCTTCTTGTCTAATCCCTGGTGTTCTACTTCAGCTATATTTTTTCCTTCCCAGTTGACCTGGTAACATTAACCACAGCCCTGGAGATCTTCAATGAGCATGATCTGCAGGCCAGTGAACATGTGATGGATGTGGTAGAAGTCATTCATTGCTTGACTGCCTTATATGAACGGCTGGAGGAAGAAAGAGGCATCCTGGTCAACGTGCCACTCTGTGTAGACATGAGTCTCAACTGGCTCCTCAATGTCTTTGATAGGTAAGGGTTTTCATTCCTAGTAACCTCCAGGATAAAATTCCATGGGACACCTTCAGTAGGCATGGTGGGAGAAGGTTGCTCCCATGGTGGACTTGGACCCAGTTCTGTTTGGGGCATGGTTGGCACAGAGCCCTTCTGGGGTCAACTCTGTGAGAAAAATGACTGTCAAGATGTTTACTCTTTACATACAAGGGGACTTCAAAAAGTTTATGGAAAGATGGAATCAAAGTGTAAGTTTATTTTGTCATAAGAACTTTCATTATGTATACATCTTTGTAACATGCATTTTCCATGAATTTTTGAAGATCCCCTCATATATATATATATGTTCATGTTCTCAGTCTCTTCTTTTAAACCTAGTGGCCGCAGTGGAAAGATGCGAGCACTGTCCTTTAAGACTGGCATTGCATGCCTGTGTGGCACAGAAGTGAAGGAAAAACTTCAGTGTGAGTACAACTCCAAAGTCTGGAGTGGTGTTGGGTAGAGGGAGAGGTATTACAGGGAGGAGGAAGGGTGTAAAAATAAGCAGAAGGGTAGGTCTTATGAGTCAGCAGAGGGCTACTCAGGCTACCTTACAATGCTTCTTGGACCAGGCTATCACAAAGAGCACATGACAGCAAAAGCTAAGATGGGTCTAAGGCCTGTTATTAGTCCCAATGTCACTCCAAGGAGTTTAGTTTTTTCTGATTCAATGTAAGTACTTAAGATCTGTGTTGGCATCGTGGGGTACCCAGGACCCTGACTTTCTAGTTCTATTCCCTGAGGCCTATCAAGCTTAGCCTTGTCCCAATCTGGAGTTAAAGTCATGTTCCACTGGAGACTTCACATGTTCCACTGGAGACTTCTCGTGTCATTATTTGGGTAGTGTGCAATAATCCCCATTACCTGGGAGATGGACAATATATACTTGTATAGTTTTTAACCTTGCTGGTTAAAAATCTTGCTTTTCCCTTCATCCTCCATCTTGTATTCAGCATTTTGAACATTTCTACAGCAGCATCTTTAGTCATTATGTCCTAATATGTGTTGACCACTCTGCTAAATGATGTGAATGCTATATTAAATTAGACATGGTGCCTGCTTCAAGTGGTTTACAGTCCAGAGGAGGATACAGAAGCATATAGAAAGCATTTTTAAAAATACTAATGAGATTGGGATCAGCAGTTAGCATAATGGCTATGTCGCTGGACTCCCATGTAGTCGACCGCGGTTCGCGTCCCAGACCAGGTGGCTTAAAACTCACGCCAGGTGCATGTGCGTGTGTGCCCAAGATCCCGAGAGGAAGACGGAGGAGAAGGGATTGCAGCATGGCCATTCCCCTTTGGGGGTGATTTCTCGCCTTCTGTCTCTCTGTCTGGCTGGCAAGCACACACGCCCTATAGCAAAACCCTCTCAAAAAAAAAATACTAATGAGAATAATCTGATGGGCAAAGGATATGTGTTAATCTTATACAGATGAGAGATGACAATGGTCTGGGAAAACGTAGAAGGGAGGGGACTTTCCCAAGCACATTTATAGCTATGCTATTATTTGTTTCTCCCAACATTCCTTTGCAATGGGATGGACAGTGATTATTTATCCTTAATTTAGAAATAAAGAAACTGCAGCATAACAAGGCTCATGATTTAACCTAAAATTCTAGACTGATTCAGTAATGGGTCCAGAATTTAAAACCAGGCTCGCTCCCTTCGACTGCATATTTTTGAAGTGAATATGAAATAGGCATACAAGAACCTCTGGATGGGGTTTGCTGAGGTTGGATCGGGATGGGGAACATCCTAAAAGGACCCCTACACAGCCCATATTCAAACATAACTACCATAGGATATTTCACAACCACTTAGAGGTCATTCTTAGATGAGTGGATGCTATGAATGAGCTCCTCTTTTTGGATTTCCCATGCCAGTGTTTCCTTCCATTTGTGTGGACAATTAGGAGATTACTGCAGTCTCATGCTACATGAGCTACATTAACAGGAGTGGGGCTGGCTCCTGAATCCACACCCCCTCATTTGGCTTCTCGCAGAATCTGTTTTCCCAGCAGTGTCATAGCTGTGTCTGGCACTGCTCTCACACACAGCTCACTTGCTCTCTGTCTTCCTCTCTCTCTCTCCCTCTCTTCCTGATGTTCTTTCTCTGTGTCTGTTCTACTTATTATTTCTGAACTCAAGGAATGCTCTTTAAAGAACTAGTATGTTTCTAGAAGGTCAAAGATGAACCCCCAGGTATTCTAGTTTCAAATGTCATTAGCTCAGTCTATGTG